GACAAGGAGTCGAGCGCACCCGTGCACGCGTGCTCCACAGCAGCCATCTTTCCGCGCCCTGAGCGAAGACAATTTGGCCTCCCGCAGGGGCCCTCCCAGGGCGCATCTTGGAGTCTTCGTGGGACGTTTTCGTGGCCTCTTGAGCCGTCTTATTCGCGCGTCTGCGGCCTTGTCAGTCCGCTCTGGTCGCTTCTAGCCTCTGGAGCTGTTTGGGCGGCGGGGAAAAGGCCAAGGAGGCCCAGGAGGGCACGCACGGGGTCAACAATGACGTGGGCCAGGGGGGGGGATCCGGGAGGGTGTCTGGGCCTTGGCCCCTGGGCCCCTGGTACCCCAGCGCTGATATCTATATCTATATATATACACATATATATTATATATATATATATATACTCGAACCACGCGCGCGCTTAACCACGCGCGCGCTTCGCGCGCGCTTAGGTTCTAGCTAGGATCGTCACCGTCGTCATCATGAACATCACCATCGCCATCATTCCCCCCGCCAGGGCTAATGTACATCGTTTCTGGATGCTTCTGGCCAGAATACGAAAGGAGTTTCTGTAGTTAGAGTCTCTGGGGGAAGTCGCGGGGAAGCTTTTGTTGTCTTTGGTGTTGCGTCGCCAGGAGGTCTGGGCTCCCTCCTCCTCGTGTTCCTACCTCCTCTCTGGACGTCCGATGTCGTGATGCTTTCTGTGCGCGGCCCCTGGACCTCTCGACGACTTCCTGGGGATGTTTTTTTTTCATCCTGAGTCGTTTTCTGACGGTCCCGGGACCCTGCGAGGGGCCCCGGAGGCCGAAAATTGACCGAAACCGCCGTCGTGATTTTTCCAAGACGTCGGAGGTCCAGGTCGTGCTTCCCGCCTCCCCAGACCTCCGACGTCGTAATTTTTGCGACCTCGGGCCCAGGAATCGATTGGGAAAACGCACATGGGAAGGCAAGAAATGATGGACCCATCATTTCGTACCTGTGCCTTGATCAGTGGGACGGGCTTCGCACCGCCGCACATCACAAGACACGCTCGAGCGGATCCAGCCGTGGCGACGTCGGGGACTGCAGAAGGTCGCAAGGACACGGAATCTGAAAGGAAGAAAGAGAAAGAGAGAGAAAGAGAGGGAGAGAGAGAGACAGACAGACAGAGAGCGAAGGAGAGAGAGAGAGAGAGAGATGGAGAGAGAGAGAGAGAAGAAGACAGAGAGAGAGAGAGGCAGAGAGAGGAAATGGAGAGGAGGCGAGCTTGAGTCAACGAAAGTCGCAGGGAAGGGGGCAGGGGGAAGAAGGCCAGAGAGCGCTGAAGGATACAAATACTGGAACCCTCTTGGGATTTTTTGGGGGGCCTCGTCCGGCCGCTCGCTGGGAGTTTGACGTAGCTTCTTGGGAGCCTCTGAACCTGTCGGGGGCCTCCTGGAAGCAGGTTCGAAGCATTGTGGGGGCCGATTTGGGGCTTCTCGGGGCCTCCTTTGGGCCTCTTGGGGGTCTCCTGGGGCCTCTTGAGGGGCCTCCTGGGGGCCTCCTGGCGGCCTCTTGGGGCGGAAGGCTCGAGCTTGCGGTTCGTGGTCCCCCTCTGGGCCCCCTCTTGGGCCCGTCTTGGGGCCCTCTTGGGCCATCTTGGGCGCCTCTTGGGCCGTCTTGGGGCCCTCTTGGGCTGTCCTGGGGCCCTCTTGGAAGCTTCTTGGGCCGTCTTGGGGCGGTCTTGGGCGCCTCTTGGGCCGTCCTGTAACGTCGGAAAGCCCAAAAGACAACTTTGTTGAAAATGTACGTTTTACGAAGGGAATGGGCCAATTTTTGCGTCTAGGGGCCCTCTTGGGACGCATGTTGGAGGCTTCTTGGGGCCTCTTGGGGGCGTCCTTGGACGTCTGGAGGCCATCTTCAGCATCTCGGAGCCCTCTTGGAGGCCTCTTGGAAGTTTCTTGGGCCGTCTTGGGCGCTTCTGGGGCCGTCTTGTCTGACCGGGGAGGCCTCCGGCAAGCCCCGACGAGCCTCCGGGCCCCCCGGAGCCCACATTTGTGGTCGAGGTCCCGGCCCCGGGCCCCCGGACCCGGTGCGCCGTTATATGTATATACATACACACACATGCATGCATGCATGCATACGTACATACAGGCATACAGACATACATGTACGCACACAATCATATGTATATGTGTATAGACATACCCACTCCGCATCCATCCCTCTCCCTCTGTATGGTATGTGTCTATGAATACGAACTGCACACACACACACAATGCTGCATTGGCGCTTCGCGCCGAGCACCTTGGTCTTTGAAGTTTAGCATGCAGGCGGAATGGCAGGAAGGTCAAACTAACAATTTAGCGATAACTCCTTGTCGTATTTTCCAGCATCGCCGTTATAGTAGGGTATTCGTTCTCCTTCCTCCATGTTTTTTTTTCCCTCATTCTCGCCCTACCCTGCGAATTCTTCCCCATCCTCCTCAGCTCTTTTTGCGGAGGCTCCTCCTTGGAGAGCCTCTGGAGGCCTCCGGGAAGTTGTTCACGCTTTCTGAAGGCCTTCTAGAGGCCTCCAGAGCGTCGTCTGGGGGCCTCTGGGGGCTTCCTCGGGCCACCCTGCCTCCAACCGCGGTCTCCCTGAACGACCAGATCACGATTTGGACAGCTTCGGAGGGCGTCTTGGGGCCATCTTGAGCCGTCATGGGAAAAACCGGGAACCGGGGAACCCAGCCGCCCACCGAGAGCAACCCGGAACCCGGAGACGGGAACCCGGAACCCAGAACTGGGAGCCCGGGACCAATCGGGAACCCAGAAACAGGAACCAGGACCTGGAAACAGGAACCCGGAGCCCAGAACCGGGAACCCGGGAACCCGGCCGCCTACCGAAATCGGCGGCGAACAAGCGCCAAGGTCAAGCCAGAACCTGGAGACAGGACCCCGGACCCCGGAACCGGGAACCTGGGAACCTGGCCGCCCACCGAAATCGGCGGCGAGTTTTCGCCACAGCTGTCAACGACTTGGGATTGGCAATTTCCAGAAGCAGGGAAGAGCGAGGCGCCCGAGGCCCTGTGCGGCCCCTAGGAGAGCTCTCGTGGCCTGGCGGTGGCCAGACTAGGCTCCCACATGGCCCAAGAAGGCTCCACGAGAGCGTGCAGGAGTAGTCGAAGAAGCCGCTTCGGATGGATCTTCTTGACATCATGGGCCGCCAAGATCAGCGAAAGGCCGCGGAGACCAACAGGCCCCCCAAAAGGCCAGACCAACGAGTAAAACGCAACGCTTAGTAGTTTGACTGTGTGTTCCCTGGGCGCAGGGACATGCGACATGTTTGAACGAACTTGTGTATACACACATGTACGTATGAGTTCCATACGTTTCGCGTATCCCCACCAGCACTCCAGAATCAGATCGCCAAGCGAGTTGCCTTGATCAAGCGAGTGCAAAAAAGTGCAGTGCAACAACCGCCTTGGAAGCGTTTTTGTCGAAGGTCTCTTGGAGCCATTGGGGGGCCCTCTTGGGGTCCTCGCGGAGCTTCTCGGAGCACTCTTGAAGCCCTCCTGGGACTCCCTTGGGGCCTTCTTGGGGCCCCCTAGGGGTTCGTTGGGGCGGTCTGGGAGGCCAAAAGGGGCCATTTTCGTCCCTATGACTCAAAAAAGAGGGGGGAAGGTAAGTAGGGGGGGGCGTAAATTCAGGCCCCCCCTCGGAGACTCAAAAATAGCATCTCGGGGCCGTCTTGGGGCGCTCTTGGGACGCTCCCATCCGCACCAGGTCGGTGATCGAGCCTCCGGGCCCCAAATTCGCCAATCGTCGGCAACAACTCTGCACCTGTTTTTTGCCGCACCTGCTGCACTTATCGCAGCCAGCGGCCATCTCTTGTGCAGCGATTGTGTGATATGTGCGTACGGCGGGTTCGTGTCGTGCCGACCCCAGCGTTGGTTTTTGACACCGCAGGGATCGTTCAACCTTGAACGATCGGCCGTCTCCGCAACGTCCAATCGTTCAACATCGATCGATTCTGGGTCGCCGGCGGCGTTCAACCTTGAACGCCCGCGCTGGGGTCGCCGCTGGTCGACACGACGCAAACCTACCGTAAGCTGCTCAAGGATTCTTCATGAACCTGAGGCCGTTTTCGCTCCCAGACGGGCTGGCTCTTGTGGCTGCCCCAATCATTCAACACGAAAGAAGTGGCTCAACCGTGGGCGGTTCGCCGCCAGCTGCGGAAAGAGAGTCCGCGGCCGTTTTGGGTGCGCACCCATCGGCACGTCATCGCTTCCCAGACTCACAAACACAGCGACAAACCCGTAATCACGAGGCACCACGTCACGGGTAAGATGACAAGATCTTGCATATATGATAAGCCTGAGGAGCTCATCAAATCCAACTGGTCCTTCGTGGCCACGTTCGCGAAAAAGAGGACGACGTAGTTAATGGCGAACAGACTGTACAGCGTGCCCGTCACATAGATGAAACCGTCACGCCTCCGCAACCTCCTCAGCTGCAGCTTCCACTCAGGGCCCCCTTCCTCGGACACTCGCACAAAATGGCGCTGGTGCGCCTTTGTGATGATAGCCATCGGAATGCTCGCCAACAGCGAGGAGATCACTCCAACCGCCACTAGCCGTCCCAGCGTCTGCCACGCGCAATCGTCGTCCTCGCACTCCGCGCTACACTCTGGCGGGGAGTCCTTCCCCAGAGCACCGCCAGTGGCCGTGAAGAAGACGGTGGCGATCATCACGGCCCCGAGGAGCTCGCAGCCGAGCAGAAGAGCCCTCACAGACCGTGCCATTGTGATGCTCCGCACAGACACCGAAGAGGCAGCCCTGACTCTGGATCCGCCCTACTTTGGGGAAATTCGTAAGTAGGGCTTGGAATTTCCGCCTTACTTTTCAAGCCCCGCTGATGCCAATTTCCGCCCTACTTTTCTGTTGTTGTTTCCGCCCTACTTCTGTGGATTTTCGCCCTGTTCTATGCTGGGTGCAGAAATTTCCGCCCTACTTTTTCGGCCTCTTATAGGTGGATTTCCGACGCAATTTTAAGTTGGAAAAAAAGCCAAAGTAGGGCGGATCTGGAGTCAGGGAGGGCAACGAATCAAGAAGGTGAGCACCGCCGTGCGAGCCGTGTGGCACCATCCGCGCGGCCGCTGCAGGGCGCTCTCCTGGCTCGCCCGCACCCTGGTGACCATCTCGGCCAACATGTCGTGGCGCCTCTTGGCAGCACCTAGGGCTCCCAACTTCGCGCTGCGCGAAGCGCGAAGCGCGAATAACTTCGCGCCCTCGCGCCGCCCCCCCAAAGGGAGAAAAGGAGGACGAGGAGGAGGGGGAGAAGGAACGAGGACCGCGAAGCGCGAAGCGCGAATAACTTCGCGCCCTCGAGGGAGCCCTTGCAGCACCGCCGCCGGCCTCGGCGGCCACGCCGGCGAGGGTCCGCAGCGGGGCCCCCCGGTCATCGACTTCGCCTGGCGGGCGGCGCCTCCAGTTCCCTCTCGACCTCTGGGCCCAGCAGGAAGTCCAGGTCTTCGGTGTGCATCAGCAGCGAGGCGCAGGCCAGCTGCTTCGCGCTCCAGGCGGCGAGCACCTCGCCGACGTCGGCGAGTCCGACGCGCCCGCTGAGGCAGCCCCACGTGAAGGGCACGGACATCTCCATGGCTGTCTGGACCCCCTCTGCGCTCTGGGCGAGGCTCGTGCAGACTTCCAGGAGGACACTTTGCAGCGTAGCTCCGCAAGATTCCCTCGATCCCTCATTGACTGCATCAACCACCGCTCGTGACTGTGTCACGACATCCGTGCCCCTGCCACTTGAATGCGTTCTTTTCGTGCCCGTAGTTCGTACTCGAGTGGTGTATTGTTGGCGTAATGTAAGCGTGACGTTTGCTGAGTCGGTGCCGATCGACGTCCCCGACGACATGGCCGAGATGGCGTGGTCTCTGACGACTGGTGTCATTGGTTCGTCATCGATGACTTGCCCAGCCACGCGCTCGGGGACAACAAAATCTGCCGTTCCCCAACAACCCGCCCTGGCATCCCTGACGTCACACGCATGCGCCGTCAGCAGCATGGCGAGGTACATGAACAAGACCGCATGCAGCATTACCGAGCCCACAGAGTCCGACCAGTCCAGTGTCCACAGCTCCCCATAGGACTCCGCCGACAGCAAAGTGACCTGGCTGCACTCGAGCTCGCTGAGGAAGCCTTTCAATATGGCCCCGAAAAGGGTGAGGTGCGTGACCGCGCACCGGAGCGTGCCATCCGTGCCGAGCGGCGTTGTAGCCACCCCTTCAGAAGTCCACTCCATAGCGTCCTCGTCGAAGTAGCCGCATACGAGGCCACTGCTCACGTTCGGCAGGTCGATCAGGATCGGATTGGCGAGGCCGGTCACTGACAGGGTCGAGCCGTCGACTTTTGACTTCAGGGTGATGCTGATCACGCCCTCCACTTCTGAGCCGCCAGCGCCCGCGGGGACGGCGGAGGGAGGTACCTCTGCAACCACAGCCAACACGCTCTCTACCCCGAGGGCATCGAATAACGAAGTGGGAAGCCTGATGTCCACGCCAGTGACATTGCTCACATACGGCAGAAAAAGGCAATCGTCGACAACATTATCCTGATCTGCCGTGACAACCGTGACCTCAATTCCTTCGATCGTCACCGTTAAAGTGGACTGATTTGATGAAACAAATTGCATGACTGCCATGTCCTCCGCTTTCGCGGTATCCGCTAACGTCACAAACTCCGTGGATTCGCCTGTGATCGTTGCACTCTCCGTCGTCGTGCCCATGGGAAGAATGGTCGTGGAGGTATGGGCCGAGATGGTTAGCGAGGTGCTCGTGAGAGGAGCGGGTGACTGAGTCGATAATGTGATGGTCGTGCTGCGCAAGGACGTCGTAGTAGAGGTCTCCGCGATGGTCCCGAACACGATGCCTAAGTCCGTGCACTCCCCTTGCCCTGACACTTCTCCGTAGTAGCAAATAATGACGGAGTCCCCCACCTGACCACTCGAGCCCAAGGCGATTGACGAGACAGGGTCTTCATTCACCAAGTTGGCGGAATCAGCAATGAGCACATGACTACTGCCATCCCAAGTGGTCCGCAAAATGTTGCACGTGACCCCCTCTTCGATTGCATAACAGACGAGAGCTGCTGCTGACTCGTTGTCGCCCACCCAGAGTGTTCCAGCGATCCAGGAGGTCGGATTCGCGTTCACAACCACTGTATTCACTACCACGAAATCAGTGACCAGCGGATCCACGATGTCGCCTCCAACTTCCGGGGTATTATATCTGAGCAGCGTGCACTGAAACCCGCCTGTGCTGACGCCGTCTGTGTAGCAGACCACGCCTTCGTTACGGGTAATGCCAACCACGACCCGCCCCTCGTAATTGGCTGCCGCTGGCGACGACGCCGTGCTTGCGTAGACCCCCACGCTGGGACGGATGCCGATGTCCGTGAATGATGGGGTGCTGTCATCGAGGTACAGCAGGGTACAGGTGCCGTCCCCATCCGCCCTCCAGCAGAGCAGAAAAACATCGAGGCTGGAAGGAAAAGCCTGAAGAGATATATCGCTACAATTGTGATCCGAATCGAAGACCCATTCGTCCATGAATGAGCTCGCAGGGGCGATCCCTCCATCCGGCTCGACTCGCAAAGCCGCGCATATGCCCCTGCCAACTTCGTCCGCACGGCAGATCAAAGCTACGTCAGAATCGGTGATTGTGGAAACGGCGAATGGTGTCACGTCTGCCACCATGTAGGCTGAGGAGTTGAGCACATAGGGGACGCTCACGGAGATAGAATCGGGCCAAGAAGTGGACATTACCTTGCACGTGGTGCGTGACGATCCCGCCACATCCACGTAGCAGACAAGCGGTAATCCCGACGACGGAATGGTCACCACGGAAATGTGCAGGGCTGGGCCATCGGTGACAATGTGCGATTCCCCAACGAAATCAATGGTGCCGCTAGAGAGGAGGAGGATCCTGCAGCTGCCTGTGCCTCCATTGGCATCGTCTGCGTAGCACAGCATCTGTCGGTCTTCATCAAGCGTCGCGAGTGAATTGAAACTGGTGCCTCCCGAATTTACTGCCACAGAACCCCCCCCCGCCACCTCGTACTCTGCAAGGGCGCCAAACATAGACATAAGCAGAATCGACACGCGGTACAACCCAGGCGATACCATGCGAAGCGGCGGCAAAGCTGCCTCGGTCATAACGCGCGCGAACCTGCCACTTAGAATGACAACTGCAGTGGTCCCCAAACGGCTCTTGAGCCAAAATGGCTACGGAGGCGCTCTTGGGACGCTCTTGGGCGTTCTTAGGGCCCTCTTGGGGCCCTTCTTGAGTCTCTTTTGGGCCGCCTTGGGGCCATCGTAAGGCCTCAATACCCCATCGGAAGCGGACAGGCGAAAAGGCACAACACACAAATGTTCCATGAGATTGGGGACCATTTTGGCCTCTTGGGGGGCGCCTGGAAGGCTCGGAGGGCACTTGAAACCGTCTTGGGGCCGTCTTGAGGTCGGTCGGATGTTTGTCGGAGGCTATATTGAACCATCTTGAAAGATTGTGAAACATTTTGGAGGCCATCTTGGGTTCTCTGAGACCCTCCTGGAATCATTTTGGGCGATCTTCGGGGCTCCGCCTCGCGCCCCCTTCCCCCACCCTCTCAGGCCCAGGGGAGGGGTCGAGGCCCCCCCGAGACCGCAAGCCGTCTCGCTCACTCCCACCCGCCCTCCCAACACATAAGTAGTACCCGAGGCTCAGCACATCGCCGAGGAGCGCCACACATGCCATGTGCGCCACGGGCTTAGGTGCACCAAGCAGGCCCAAGCATGCGAGGCGCGGCAAGCGCGGCACGTGCTCCATGAGAGGGCTGGTATGCCGTTGGCATGTACAACCTGGATGACGAGCCTGGCATCGACGAGTGCAGTTCTGACGATGCCCCTGCAACCCCTGAGCATGCAGGCGTGGCGAAATGGGACCCCGCGTGGTCTGCGCAGCGGGGCCGCGAGGTGCTTCTCTCAACTACACCATAAAAATATCCATCCACCACAAAGCAAACGGAGGACCGACCGATAATGTGCAATATGCCAGCACCCCCTGCCAAAAACCCGTGCAGAGTGGTCGCGGCCCCCCCGAGCATGTTCCAGATTTGGAGGCAAAGTGCATCCCGTCTTGTTTTGACAGGGGCGGTTGGGCTGCGCGCAACTTGCGCACAACAGATGTCGAAAGCGAATGCAAGTGATGAACGGGGCGCCCGCGCGTGCTCCGGAGTTGGAGGCAGTGTGCACTCTGTACTGTTTTCTGACAAAGGGTCGTGGCCTGCGCGGGGCGCGGGAACGCGGGCGTGACATCAGACCGCAGCTTTGGGCCACTGGCAAAGGTACGCACGGCGTCAAGCGACATGCCAGCACCCGCCCAATCCTCCACGAAAACCGCTGCACCGTGGCACCGGGGCGCCCGCCGAGATGGCCACGGGGTGCCCACGCGTGCTCCGCGTGTGGGGGCGAAGTAGATGCTGTTCTGTTCTTTGACGAGGGCGGCCGGCCTGCGCGCCACTTGTGCGCAAGAAACAGCATGCCGGCACCCCCGCCGTCCCTGTCAGAAACCAGTGCAGAGTGGTCGCGGGGCGCCCGCGCATGCTCGAGATTTGGAGGCAGAGTACTTCCAGCACTGTTTTTTGACAAGGGTGGTGGGGTGGTGGTGTTGGCATGGCCCGGGGTTGGCCCACAGTCGGGTGAGGGAGGGGGTGTTTATCAAGAAAGAGCAAAAAGAAACCCCTACCCAGAGCAGGAGAAGGAGGGGTTTTGGCAGAGAGAAGACAAAACTCGTTGAACCACCTACGCCCTAGACGGCTGGTGGGATTCTCTGTGTGTGCATGTATGCATGTAGTTCTACATACCAAATCGGCCCGTGGTGTCCCGTGGCAGCATAGTGAGATCGATCGTGAGAGCAATAGTGAGATCGATCGTGAGATCGATGTTAGGATCATTAGTGAGCGCGATAGTGATGTAGGTAGTAAGATCGATTGCGAGGTAGATTGTAAAATCGATAGTTGGATTGATCGTGAGGACGACAGCAAGGTCGATCGTGAGACCGATAATGAAATCGATGCAGTGAGATCGATAGCGAGATCGATCGTGCGATCGTTAGTGAAATCGTTGGTAAGATCGATTATGATATCGATTGTGAGATCGATTGTGCGATTGATTAAGCAATCGATTGTTAGATCGACAAAGAGGTGGGTAACGCGATCAATAGTGAGACCGATCGATCAAAAGATCAACCAGGAACAGGGGAACACGGAAACCCGGGAACCCCGGAAGGCCCCAGTGGCATAGTTCGCACGCCGCCCCCCGTCCAATGTGACACACCCTTCACATGTTTCGCGGTCCCTTGGGGAGCTCCGTTGAGGGCCCCAGTGGCATAGTTCGCATGCCCCCCCCCCGCTGCCTTGGCCATCCCCGCGGCGCGCCAGCTGTGGGCCCGTGCCGCCGCAGCTCCTCTCATGGTTTTCCTCGTCTGGTTACATCGAGCATTCTCTGTTTCAGTCCACGGTGCGCGCTCTTTAAGAATGCTTTGGCACTTACACATGTACCTGGTTTGGGAATGCCTGGCGTAAAATGTCTTGTTAGCTTGTTGCTCCGACATTGGATGCTGCTGTGTGTCTAATTCGTTCGTTGCCATCGCACCGAATGCCATGCCTACATTACGTTCCTCACGCCACTGACGCCAAATGTTTATAAAATAGTGATCTGGAGCTCCCAGCGCCTCCTCGTAGCTTTCGCCCGCAGGTCACTTACCCGTGGCACCTTGCAGCTTAATGTGTCCTTTTCCAGCCCCAATTCTCCTAGAGTTTCTCTCGGCAGCTTTCTGGTCTGCCTCAAACCTCGCTCCTCCATGCGTCCACTCGACAATCCGGTTGGGAGTCTCGATCGCCTAGTCGTCCTCCTTTCCAAATCCTAACGCCGCCCCTCACATTTACCTCGCACTTCTCCTTCATTCTCTTTTCGAAACCAGTTCAGATCGCACTCGTTTCCGAAAATCGTGAACTTACCACTGTGAACAATCAGCCAAAGGTAGATGTTGCTGTGCTTAAACGCACATGGTGATGCTCGCCCTGACGCGATGTCTTTTCTCTGGAAGAAGTGTGCGCAGCGATATTCATGATCGCTGACAGCATCGTGTCATGTACATTTGATTTGCAAAGCTTTCTGCACCTTCTAAACCCATTGTTCTCTTGCGGCAACTTGACATAGAGGGTCCCAGTGCCAGGGAGAGGAAGCCCTTTTCGCCGATGAGTGTTAATTTACGCCCATTGTCCTTCTTTCCTTCCTTGTATCCGATTCCACCTGTTACTGCCATAGGAGACAATAGCTTTTGGTGTTTCCAAGGGTGGAGTCAAATCAGTTTTTCGCGTTGGAGTTATACGTAGAACACGATCCCCCGTGGATTAATCAATGTTCCCGTCCTCGAGGCCATCAGCCATCGTAAATTGCGTGATGCTTGCGTCACCGAAGACACGATCCTTCGCAAATTACTCATATTCGCGTCCTCGAGGCCACGATCTTCTGCAAATTACGCTGCACTCGCGTCCCCGAGGCTACGATCCATTGTAAATTACGCGGCGCCCGCGTCCCGAAGCCACGATTGTCAGCAAGTTCGCAATGCGAAACATCAGAATTCGAGAGATGTGTTTCAATTTTTCTGTGCAGGTCGTAGCGTACGATGTTGGCCCTCGCGGCATGTTCCGACACTGCTTCACGACGGCGCCCCTGCAACCCAACTTAGCTCTGGCATTCCCAATTCTAAAATCGATGGTTCAAAGATGGGGTCCTGAGGGATGGCGTCCTAAGGAAATGAAAGGATCCAAGGGTGGATTTACATCAATTTGAGGCACCTCGTCCGTAGGACCCCATCCCTCAGGACTCCATCTTTGAACCACCGACAACAGAGAATCTAAAAGAGAGGGGGCCGGCGGCAATGGGCGAAGCTCTTGCGGATCATTGGGAAACCCTGGGCACGTTAGAGTTTGCTTGCCGTTTGGGGGCATCCTTGGAAGGCGTTTGGGCCAATGTGGCTCCGAGGTGCCCAGATGCCCGACTATTGCCTGTACTATGGCGCAGGATGCTCCAATTTAGCTCAGAATGGCCTCCAACATGCCTCCCAGCTACCCCAAGACGGCCTCAAGACAGCTTCAAGCGGCCACAGGGTCTCCCGAGCACGTCCCCATGATGCCAACTCCAACCAAAAACCTGAATTGTGCCACTGTCTTCACCATGCATCCTACGTATGGGGTGTCTGGCATGGTCATCATTACTATTGTCTGCCGACCCAGGAGGCGTGCGCGGGATCCGTCGATGCCGTTTGACGTTCCGCCGATACCGACCACCTCGCTCACCGCCCCCGACCCCGCCTGCATCCTGGAGCCATGTTCGGAACGGACCCCGGCCCCACCCCGCCTCAAACATCATCCACTCTCCGGACCCACCGCTCGACAATTTCCCCCCCCGGAGCGGACTCTGACCCACCACCTGGCCTGACACCCCCACCGCCTCAGACCTCTGCACTTGGGACCCCCCGCTCGACAATCCCCCGTTTTCGAAAGGGGAGGGAGGGGGGGCTCGAGCTCGTCCACTGCTTCTCTTGGGCCCTCGGACCCTCCAAATCCAGCTTCGACGCCCTCCTCCATGAAGATGACCCCCTGGGATGGCTCCAAAAGAGCTCCAGGGCGCCCGAAAAGCCTCCAGAACACCCGAAATCGCCCCAGGCCGGCCCAAGAGGCCCGGAAGAAGCCCAGAGGGGCCCCAGGAGGACCCGCAAGGCGGCGTCAAGAGGTCACAACTGAGGGCCGCCCCAGAAGACTGCCCGCGAGGCCCCCCGAGCCGTGCAGGGGCGCTGCCAAGCGGCCCCCCAAGGAGAGGCCGGAGGGGCCCGCGAGGGGGCAACTCGTGGGGGCCCCGGGGCCTTCCCTCTTCAATCTTCAAGATGTTCTTAAAGGCTCAACGACTTCCGCCGTCCCCCGCCTCGGGCTACAGTCGGAGTTGGTTGGACAGGACACGCGAGGGGACACAAGACCCTTCCGAGGGCCAGTGCCACAGGAATGCAAGAGGCATGGATCGCGAGACACGGGACACAAGAGTTACCTTGATTTGGCAGGGTCGACCTACTAATCCGGGCCGATTTTGGAGCGGCCGCAGTTTGCTCCAAATTGCCCAGGGGATTTCTGTATGTATCTCGATGTGCCTCGATGTGCCTGGATTTGTGTGCATTGACCTGGATGTATCTGCGTTTGCCTGGGTCTATCTGGCTCGGCCCCCACAAGTCGATTGGCGTAAAGTCGTCAAGCCCTTAAAGAACATGGCCCCCAGGACGCCCAACATGCCCCCCGGGATGTCCCCAAGAGGCACCAAGAATCCTGCAGAGGGCCCCAAGCAACGCCCAGGAGCACGGAAAGCGGCAAACAACAGATACGAGATCGGAAGTCGCACGCACGCGTCGATCGGAAGCAGCAGGAAAAAACATGATGAAGTAGAAAGCCGGATCAAGTAGACTAGGTTCAGGCTCTCCCAAAGAGTACCAAGACACGGCAAAAGCATGTCGGCTCTTGAAGTAGGAAGGCGCTTGAAGCATATTGGGATATGGGAATCCAGAAATGCATACTTCTCAGCGGCCGGCGCGCATACTCTTCTGGGGTCGGCGGGCTGGCGTAAGCCTCGCGACGACAAAAAAACACATGCAGGTCTGGGCCTGGAGACTGCGCGACGCTTTTCGGGGGGGGGCCAGCAGCGCCAGCTCGAAAACGCTTCCCCTGTGGCAGCGCTGGAGGAGGGAGGACGGAGAACGAGGATGAGGAACGATGAAGGGCCCCTGGGACACACGAGTAAATGCGCACAAATAACCGGATTCCCCCTATTTTCCCATACTGTCTGGATTTGCGTCTTCCCCCCCACTTCCTATATTTTCCCATATTTTCAGGGGGATGTCGACGATGAAATGTGTCCGTGTGTTTCCCCCCTCCTGACAGGACGAGGAACGAGGAACGAGGGCCGAGGAACGAGGAAAGAGAACGGAGGAGCAGGGGCGGAGAAGGAAGCCTGGTGGCAACGAGCACGCCCCGACGGCGTGCAAGCGCCACGGCGACGCCGCCGGCGGCCAGACAGCAAGCGACGAGCAACGCGGCGACCGGCACGACAGCAAACACGCCGCCGACTTTCGTAAGACCTGGCCTGCGGCGCTGGTCCCCCGGGCTGGGAAAGTGCAATGTCGAGGGCGCGCAAACGGCGCGCCGCTCACCTCATCAACTCCTTCTTCTTGCGGTTCCACTCCAGCGCAAGCTTGCTCGTGCCTGGCTGGGGCCCCTGCTGGATCCTGGCGAGGTTCTGCTCGCCCATCTGTTTCCGCTCGCCGCACTCCTTGGCGAGCGACCGCATGGACCCCCGCGCGATGCACCCGCACTTCGTGCAGTAGAGCAGGCCGAGCTCCTCGTTGTACTTCACCTTGTGCGACGCGTGGGCCGTCTGGTGCCCGACCCGCACGCCTGAAGCCGACGCGCCGAACTCCGACGCCCGGTCCCGCTCCAACTTCACGCGCTCGCCCTCCGACCACTTGTCCGTGTCAGCGCCGACTACGGGCACCAAGCTTCCGCACCTCGAACAGCAGAAGTGCTTGCCACCGCTGACCGCCTCGATCATGTGCTGTGTGTTGTCCAGGCACTGCTTCTTCCACTTCTGCTTGAGGTCAGCCTCGTGTCGCTGGGCTTTGCTGGGTGCCATGGGCGGCTCCATCTCGATGGCCGCCATCAGCGTCGCATGCCCTCTGTTCCTGATCAGCGTGGCGATCCCGTCGCACCAGCCGACCCTGCGTGCATCTCCTCTAGGCACCTACACCCTCTCGATGATGCCGTCCACGAAACTATCCGCCAGCGAGTTGCCCAGGTAGCAGATCGGGTCCACTCCTGCCGCCACTGCTTCGTCCGCCGACGTGTGGCTCTCGACCTTGATCTGGCGGAGCTCTCTGCCGACCAGGGCCTCCTTCAGCTCGTTCCACAGATCGACATGCGTCTTGGGCATCTTGCCGCGGCGGAGCTTCGCCACGCCTCATGACGTAGGACGAGTCTGCTGTGTACTGCACCTTCTGGTACTCTCTGGTGGCCGCCAACAGCTCCTTCAACGCCATCAGCTCGCCGCGGTTCACGCTCCGCCTCCAACCACCCAGCGCTGCGCGGGAAGCTGCTACCACCATCGGTTCGTTCGCGTTTTCCGTCTTCAGCACGACCCAGCCCCACGCCGCGCGTCTGAGCCTGACGCGTCGCCTGCCGCGATGAGCCACCCTTCTGCACCTGCTGGGCTTGCCTCCCCGAGGTCGGTACTCTCTGCCGACGACGACGACGACGACGACGACGACGACGACGACGACGACGACGGCGACGACGCTGACGACGACGCTGGCGGCGGCGGCTCGACGGCGTCCTGCGGCCCCTGCCGCGGGGGCTGCGGCGGCGGGCTTTGGGCCGCCGGCACCCGCTCCGGGGGGATGTAGCGTCCTGCCCTCGCGCGGCCCCGTCTCTGGCTGCGGGGGGTCAGCACTAGGAGGAGGAGGGGGAGGAGGATCAGGAGGAGGAGGAGGAGGAGGAGGAAAAGGAGGAGGAGGAGGAGGAGGAGGAGGAGGAGGAGGAGGAGGAGGAGGGGGAGGGGGAGGTGGAGGACCAGCTCGGGGCGGGGAAGCATCGACCCGAAAGCGGCGCTGCATCGCCGACAGACGTGGGCGGTGGGCCCCCGATCGCGACTCCGTGCGGTCCTGGGCAGGCTGGGGCTATCATTAGGTCGGGCGTGTCCCCCTACACGCGGACTGTGGACGAAACATCAAACATGCTCAAAAAACATCACCCCAAAAAACCAAAAATGGTCAAACAATCGTCCCCACACCATGTTTGGACTATGTTTGAATATTCCTCCCGTAGAGGGACAGGCCCCACTCAACGCTAGCGGGGGGGGGGGGCAGCTCGGGGTGGGGAAGCATCGGCCCGAGATCGGCGAAGCATCGCCGACATGGGCCCCCGATCGCGACTCCGTGCGGTCCTGGGCGGGCTGGGGCTATGGGGCCCCCGTTGGCGATGCTAGGCGCCGGGCGAGGGGGGGAAATGAGAAGGAGAAGGCCTTCTCAGAAGCCCTCGCGCCTTCTGAGAAGTTCGTTGCGTCTTCGGGGAAGGCTCAGGAAACTTCTCGGCAGGCCGCAGAACTTCCGAGACTTCTGAGAAGGCCCGCCCCTTCTCACTCCCCCCCTCGCTCGCCCCGCCGAGACGCGGGGCGTGCTTCGAGATCGGCGCGGCTCCCCCCCGAGCCTGTCCCCCCGCATGCCGCTGCCCGTGCGCAGGGCCGGCATGCGGGGTGTGCACGGGCGGTCGGCCTGCGGCCGGCCGACGGCCCATGGGAGAGCACCGACTGCACGTCCGTGTCTTCGACGGGGCTCCCAGGGGACGGGATGCGGCGAGCTCGTATCGTGGAGTATGGTGTGGCTCGCCGTATGGTCTCCTCCCTGACGGTCTCCTGCATCGTGCTCATTCGAACATGCTCGGTAGTGCATTCTACAGGCCTCGTCAAAAACAAGCAGAAAGCTTCTGAATTCGGCGATTGTGGGGTCAGCGCCACTCCAATGCTGACGGATGCCTGATGACTCGGACACGGTGCTGTCCGAAAACCGGCCCCACCCTCTCAGCATTGAAGACCGCCCTTTCTGACAAGTGCCCGAAAGCATCGTGCTCCAGGATTTCAGCTTCCATGTCTGGATATGTTTGACGAGGCTTGTAGGGAGCAGTTCAGGGCCTCTCTGACGCCAAAAGAAAATTCGAAGGCTGGGTGTGAGCGGAACTGGATCGGAATCAATACTCCAGATTTCGTAATAAAGGGAGGGGGGGTCTCATTTCGGGGGGGGTCTCTTCCAGGCTATCTTGGAGGGCCTGGGAGGGTCTGGGGACGATGTTTTGGCGGGTTCTCCCACGGGGGAGGTCTGAAACTTCTCGCCTGGGAAGGTTGAGACCCCCTCCCTTTTATTGCGAAATCTGGAGCAGCTCGTGGTCTCCCACATGGTCTCCGTTGTGGGGCCCCCCTGTCTGGTCCCTGTCCCCGGCCTTCCGGCATGGCGTCGCGCAGGGTCTCCGCTGCGGCCCCGTCGGTGCCCCCCTGGTGCCCCCCTAGGGCCCTCCCCTTGGGCCCTCCCCTTGGGCCCTCCCCTCGCCCTGGCTCCTGATCCGCCGTACTTTGGATGATTTTCCGACCTAAAATTGTGTCGGAAATCGACGCCAAAGGAGCCTCAAGGGCGGAAATCGACGCTCAAAGGGGCCTTAAAAGTAGGGCGGAAATTTCCGTCCTACTTTCGAAATCGCCCAAAGTAGGGCGGATCAGGAGTCAGGGCGGGCCTCCCCTTGGGGCTCCCTCGGGGGCCCCCTCGACGACCCTTCGCGGAGCCCCTTTTGGGGGCCCTCTGGGGCCCCCGTTCGGCCCCCCCGGGGCCCACGTGGGGCCCCCTCCAGGCTCCCTCGGAGCCCCTGTCGGAGCCCCTCTTGGGCCATCTTGCTGCCCCGCTGGGGCCCCCTCGGGGTCGTCGTCGTCGTCGAAGTCGTCGTCGTCGTCGTCGTCGTCGTCGTCGTCGTCGTCGGCGTCGGCGGCGTCGGCGTCGGCGTCGGCGTCGGCGTCGGCGTCGGCGTCGGCGTCGGCGTCGGCGGCGTCGGCGTCGGCGTCGGCGTCGGCGTCGGCGTCGGCGTCGGCGTCGGCGTCGGCGGCGGCGGCGGCGGCGTCGGCGTCGGTCGTGTCTTCCGAACATGTTTGGCTTTGCCGAAAAGGAGCGGGCCAGATCGTCAGGGAATCGACAAAAGTCGGCTGCCACATCGAATCGGCCCCGCGCTGGATTGGCTCGGCCCTGCCCTGGATCGGCGAAGTCGAAATCGAAATCGTTCATCAGAATGCCCGCACCGAGTCGGATCGAGTGGGAACCCTGGGAGATTCGGCGGTCTGTCCACCTCCGAGAGATCCGAGTTGGCCCGACGGAGTCGGAAAGCGCCCTGCTCGGAGCGGATGGGCGCGGCTCGAAACTGCCCGCCGGCGACCCCGCGGAGGCCCGGTCGGTGCAGGCGTCAAGACGAGCAGTTGGCACTGAGCATCGCAAACTCTGGTCGAACTAGCTGGTCTGCAGCTGAGCTGCAGCTGAGCTGCACAAAGCACCAGGCACATGATGCTGCCAGCGGCCCGTCGTCGGGGTCGGGGGCCCTCGTGCCTCCGAGGACTCACGCGGAGCGGCTGGCTGCCTGCCACGGACTCAGCATCATCATCAGCATCATCATCAGCATCATCATCATCATCATCATCATCATCATCATCATCATCATCATCATCATCATCATCATCATCAGCATCATCAGCATCATCAGCATCATCAGCATCATCATCATCATCAGCAGCATCATCATCAGCATCATCATCAGCATTATCATCATCATTACCATTATCATCATAATTACCATCATCATCATCATCATCATCATCATCATCATCATCATCATCATCATCATCATCATCATCATCATCCTAATCATAATCATAATCATCAGCAGCATCAACATCATCAACATCATCATCATCACCACCACCATCATTATCACCACCATCATCAACATCATCATCAACAACAACAACACCATCGTCATCATCATCATCATCACCATCAGCATCACTGCCACTATCATCATCATCATCATCATCATCATCATCATCATCATCAGCATCATAATCATCATCAGCATCATCATCATCACCATCAGCAGCGTCATCATCCTCTTCACCATCATCATCAACATCGTCAACAATGTCAATATCATCACCATCACCATCATCAATATCATTACCATCAGTGATATACTCATCATCATCCTAATCCTTATCACCATCATCATCACCATCGTCATCACCAACATCATCATCATCCTTCTCCTCCTCCACCACATCATCATCAACATCATCATCACCACCATCAACACCGTTGCCCTCACACCATCACCATCGTCGTAACCACTGTCATCGCACATTCCCAGTTTTGGTCCAAACACACACACACACACACCGTTGTCGCCATCGCCAACACATCGACACTACCATTCTCCCCAATCGTCATTGCAGTCATGATCCGGCTGACTATCCATACTAAGACCTTTGATGCCGACGTGAATAACCCCTCGGCGTGGCCAGCTGTTCTCCGCTCTGACATTGCAGCGGGGAGTGCCAAATTCACGCTGCTGTTTCTGATCTTTCACGAAGTGGGCCGCTGAGCTCTCGACGCCGCCCCCAGCTGGCGTCAGTTTCTTGTCGCGGATTGTTTTTGTTGGTCGCACCGCCCCCCCCCCAGACTCAGAAATAACACGAAACAGCCCGTCGTCTGTTGCATGAGAGGGGGCGACGTCCACAAGATCCAGGGCCAACTCTTCAAGCCGACTCGTACTTTGACGGGCCAAGGGCAAAGTGGACCCCCGGGGAGACCAAGGCGTAGAAGGGATCTCGATCCCCATCTGCTCGCACTGGCTACCCCGGACATTTCCCGGCGCGCGTTCTGACGAGAACTTCCCATCGGATCCTGCCGCGGCGATGGGAAGCTTCAGCCTGAAACGTGTCATTGCTAAAGACGACCGCGCGAACCTAAATGTTCGAAGCTTGAAGCAGCAGTGACAAAACCTTTCCAGGCCCCCCAGTGAAAGGGGAAACGTCAGGGAGGAACCGACTAGAATCGTCGATGCATCGCCGACAAATCGGCGACATGTTTCCTATGGCGAATCCGCGCGCTCCTGGGCGGGCGGGTTATTGGGCCTCTATCAACGATTCATGGGCGATTGGGGGTCGACGCGTTCCCCTCTGAGCCCATCCCCCTTCGCGCCGCCCATTGATTTTGGGGCCAGAACTCGGCCCTCGCGCGGCTGTTCGGGGCCTTGCGGGCACGCCCGGAACGCTCTCGGCGGACATGGCTGCTGGAAAGCAGCCCGAAGCTGGAAAACCCCCGGGAACAGGCGAAAAACACCCGAACACCTCGAATGTTGAGAAATCTTCCGCGAGCCCACGCCCGCCCCTCGGTTCCGCTGATCGGGGCGGTGGCCCCGCAAATCATGCACCGCCTGGGCGCGCGCGGCTCGCCACACGGGGGCGACCCGGCGGGGGGCGCCGAGGGGCCCCATTCCCTGTTCCGACAAGGGGGCGAAGAAGAAAGGGAGAGGAGGAAAGGGGGGGGGAGGAGGAGGAGGAGGAGGAGGAGGAGGAGGAGGAGGAGGAGGAGGAGGAGGAGGAGGAGGAGGAGGAGGAGGAGGAGGAGGAGGAGGAGGAGGAGGAGGGAGGGGGAGGAGGGGGAGGAGGAGGAGGAGAAAGAGGGTGGGGAGGAGGGGGAGGGGGAGGAGGAGGGGGAGGAGGCGGAGGAGGCGGAGGAGTTTTCTCCCGCACCGAATGTCCTGATTCGCATAAATCGCAACGATTTCTACTGATTTCCCTTCCCGAAATCGCGCGACATCTGGCGACTTCGCCGCGAGTTCCCTCCTCTCTCGCTCTGCTTTGCACGCCGCGCACACCAGCGCGACGCATCTCGCAATTGCCTCTGCGCCTCCTCGATGACGCGCACCTCCGCGCAGCGGCGCGCCATTCGCCCGCGATCCCGGGGCGTCCGTCGGCCTGCCGCACAAAAATTTGCGCGCGAGCGTTGAGTCAGCGCTCCTCGGCGAAATTCGTCTTGCACGCAAAGAAACCACTCGCCCTGGTCCTCCGCGCGCTTGCGCCCCGTCAACTCCGTCATTCGCTGCGCTGCCCCTTCGCCCCCTACCGCCCAGAAGATATGCTGCCCGTGGCCCTCCGCGGCACCCGGCGCGCACTCCCGTGCAGCTTTCAAATGCGACGCTGGCAGCACATTGATTACCGTCCCCGACGGCGGCTCCACCTGATAGCGATCCCCGCAGAACCAAACGCTCGCGCCTCCAAGCGGCCTGTCCACGCCACCCTTTCCTGCCTTCGCATCGCCCGCTGCTGACATGCACTACCGCCGGCGCGAATCGAGCTCTGGAAAGAAATTCGCGCTCACCGTGCTCACCTCGTCGATGACCAGCCACTCCCACTGTGACATTCGCTGCGCGGCCATATTTTTGTTTCGTCTTCTTCTTTGAATCTGCGCTTCCATGGCGCCCGGCGCCGCGCCCCCTCGTCGTCGAAGCGCCCATGCCAAATGCGGTGTGGATCGCATGTCCGCCGAAGGCTGACGCGCTCGCGGCCTGCAAAGCTGCTCCCAGGAAGTCTACGCCGCGCGTCCACCTCCTCTTCCACCCCCCTCTTCCCCTTCAGGGAGGGGCCCATCGCTGTTCCTTTTTCATGCACACCCCTTCCCCCAGGGAACCCGCAGCAAACCAGGAATCATGCATGCTCACCCCCCCCGCACCATCCCTGTCAATAACAAACAGAACGCACTCTGCCGCCACATGTGGAGCATGCGTGGCCAACCCGATGCGCCCCCCCACCATCCCTGTAAAACAAAAACAAAATACAGTATGGGGCAAAGTCTTGAGTCATGTTCGCGAGGCCCGCGAGCACTTTGTTGTTGACAGGAACGGCGAGGGTGTCAGCAGACTGCCTGCTGTGCGCAGCCTACGATCCCTAACAAACAAACAATACAAAATGTACCTCGCGGCGAAATCTGGATCATGCGCGGCCACCCCGCGATCACTGTCATGTGGTTTTTGACAGGGACGGCAGGGGTGGTGGCGCATGGCCTGCTGTGCGCAGGCCCACCAGACACAATGATGGGCAGTGGCTTTCGACAAGGATGGTGGGGGCAACATGTTTCCCGACGTGTGCTTTCACGTGCGCAAGCGCACCTGGCACGCTCTGCGCGTGGCACAGCTGGCGCGGCTGGAGTATGCGGCGCACCTGGCGCACGCGGAGCACGCGGCGCATCTGGCGCACCGTTCGTGCCTGGCACGCTCGGGTCCCAGGGGTGCCTGGCGCGCGTGGCTCGCCTGGCACGCGTGGCGCACCTCGCCCCAGCGTCGCGCACATAGGGTCGACGTTGGTTCCCAGTAGCTTCCCATCCAAAAACGACCGCTGAGCATGCTGCATGCTCAGGCTCGGGTGTTAGTTTATGTGTTGGGAGGGCGGGTGGGAGTGAGCTAGACGGCTTGCTATCTAGGGGGTGTCTAGACCCCCCCCGACCCCCTCCCCTGACCCTGGACCTGGACGGGGGGGGGCGTGAAGCGTTGGAACGTCCAAAACGGCCAAAGACAGCTCCAAGAGGGCCCCAGAGTCCAAGATGAGCTCCAAGATGGCTCAAGATAGCGCACGATGCCTCAAGATGGCCCCCAAAATGTTCCAAAAGGCCCCAAGAGCGTTCCAAGACGGCTCCAGGAGGCGTCCAAGACCTCCAAAAATCTCTAACACCTGAGGGGAAACAGTGATGTTCGTTTCCCCGTCTTTTCGCGTCCAGTGGCCATCCGAGGCCTCAGGATGGCTCCAAAATAGCCCAATAGAGCCACAGGGGAGGCCCAAGAGAGCCCCAAAACGGCCCCCAGAGCGCCCCAGAGCGCCACAAGAGCGCTCCAAGTGGGGTCCAGGTGGCGATTTCTGGTGCTTCCGTGGAGGGAAACTAATTTGAGCCCCCCTCTTGTTTAATCGATGCCCCCCAAAATGGCCCCAACAGCGCCTGCAAAGCTCCCGAGAGCGGCCCAGGAGAGCCCCGAGAGGCGCCCAGGCAACCCCGATACATCGGCACTCCGAAAATTTATTCCGATTTGAGAGGCACGGCGCCGCGCGAATGCAGAGCAAGCGCTATGCTGGATGGGCGCGGCAACGCGTGCCTCCTGGACGGGCGTGAACAACCGCGCCCCCGCGCGAACCCCGATCCCGCGCGGGGCGCGCTCCCGTTTGACAGCGGCTCACCCGGAAAACCGTTTCTTGCGCAGGATGTCCTGAACGGTCGGCCCATCGGCGGCTCCTTCGGACGAGACCCGAAACCGCCGAGAAACCGTTTGCCATAGGACGTTCTAGGCGGTTTGCCCATGTTCGGTTTCTTCGGAGTGGGCCCGAAGACCTCGATATCGATGTTTTTGCGACAAATCGTGGGCGGTTCGCACATTTTCGGGCCGTTTGAAGTGGACCCGAATTTTTGTTTGGCACACGTCTTATTGATTTGGCCTTTTTTTCAGATAGGCCGATAAACTTTTCGGGTCATCGCATGACCGAGCCCGACAACTTGTTCGAGGAAGTCCTATACCGTTTGCTCATCTTCAGATCAAAACACCGCTTGGGATTAAAATTGTCAAATGGGAAAGGGAACCCGATCCCGCGACCCCGGGCGGGGGTTAGGCCCTGCCCTTGCATTGTGCTGGGCCCCTCCGGCCAAACGGGGTGCTGGGCTGCCCATCGGCGCGCCGACTCTGCCCTCGCGACATCGCCCCCATCCGCCCTAGGGCCCCGCGAGTCTTATGCTGCGCGCGCCATCCCAGATGGCCCCGGCGAGCACGGTGGCGAAATTAGGGAAACTTTCGGATCGGCGCAGTAGGCGCCCAAGAGGCGAGACCCCATACGAGGCCTCAAGAGGATCCCCGAGGTACCCAACTCTCCCTCCTTCTCGTCCTTTTCCTTCTTCTCTTCCTCCTCGTACTCGCCCTATTCCACCTCCTCCTCCCTTTCCTCCTCCTCTTCTTCTTCCTCCTCCTCCTCCTCCGACGACGACGACGACGACGACGACGACGACGACGACAGTCAGTAGCCCGGGCGAGCGCCAGCGAATGGGCGAACAGCGTCACATCTTGGAGAGACTCTTCCTGGCAGGCTGCTGCAGGCGAGTGGGGCTTCCTTCGCCCAACGTGCCTTTCCAGCCGCAAGTGGATGCGCTTCGAAGATACCACCCGCAGATTCTGCGATGACCAAGGGCTGGGCGAATGGCAGCGTGTTGCTGGGAACGAAGATGCATGGCGCAATCTCACGTCAGATTTCGTCTCGTATTCGGTGAAGTCGCGCTTCGAGCCCTGAGGGCCCCACGTAGAGTCCTGCCCCTTGCGGGCCACCTTGACAGGACTTCCATTCCATTCCATCCCCTCCTTCTCCTCCTTCTCGTCTTCCTCGTACTCGCCCTACTCCACCTCCTCCCCTTCCTCCTCCTCCTCCTCCTCCTCCTCCTCCTCCTCCTCCTCCTCCTCCTCCTCCTCCTCCTCCTCCTCCTCTTCCGACGACGACGACGACGACGACGACGACGACGACGACGACGACGACGACGACGACTCCTCCATCCCCCCCGTCTGGGGATATTTGACGGCTCCCCCCGCCCTTTGTTCTTCCGCATGCCCCCCCACTTCCCTGATCACCTCAACTCCCCTGGGCATGGTTTCAGGATGGGCTGGTGAGGGTACTTTTCCGTCGCAGCTGCGAGTGAAGGCGCACGCAGCGTCAGAGGTCAACCCGGCTACGGGCGAAGCCTAATTGCCCAGCGGACGAAAAACGCTAATTAAGGCGAATTGTTGGTGAGGATACTTTTTTTGGTCGGCGGCTCCCTGGCGAAGGTCAAGAAACGGGGCAGCGTTCGGGGCGCGGAGCGAAGATAATTGGCCGCAGTGGTGCATGCACACGCAAGGGACAAAATGACCCACATTAGACGCCAGGAGACCGGCACAGACATCCCAGCGGGTGGGGGCGCCAAGGCGCGGCGACCGGCGGCGGGACGGCGGGGGGAAGTCGCCCTTTCGGCGCCAAGCTCCAGCCAAACCACAAGCGAAGACGCGCACAGAGCGACCAGGTGATCGAGCCGAACATCCCGACGGGTGGGGACGAGGCGCGGCGACTGGCTCCGGAGCGGCGGGGAGAAGTCGCCCTGGCGGCGCCAGACTCCGGCCGATCAACGCTCGGAGGCGAGGCCAGGAGGCGGGGGGAAGGGGAAAGGGGCAAGAGCGGACGCCAGTCTCGCGGTTCGGGGGCACAACGATGCAAAGTACTGACGGAGGCTGGTAGCAGACTGATCTGCTAGGGGAGCGGCCACGAACTGCAGAAGGCAGAACCACTCGGTGCAGGGCCACTCCCTGGCGAAGCCAGATCACCGGGTAACACCGGAAGTATGGCTGACGAACGCACCCGATCTCCATCTGTCACGCCG